TCCTCTCCCTGTTCCTGTAAAATCTTTACATTGAAAGCGGGCCTCTAAAGAAGCCTGTGGATGCTTCTATTTCTCATTCTCATTTATTTTTTATTTTAATTTTAATATGACATCCACTGAACCCTAGCAATCATGGCAGGTATCATCTCTCCTCTCAGAACCTTCATAATCAACTCCTTATAGAACTGCTCAGTGGCTTACCTATCCCAGGCCACTAAGCATCTAACGAGCTGAACGTCAGACCCCTGAAACAGACCCAAGTCTGATGCAATCTGTAAAACTCCCTGTATCTGCAAGAAGAGCTGGATTGCAGGAGCCACACCCAAAAGCTTGGAGTTTTGCCTCGAGTCTGCATACTTAACCTAAAATAAATAGATGAACACAGGATGTGTCTGAGCTTTAGTCTTCAGAAGAGACCCACGTGAGAAGAAAAGGTATATACTGTCCAAAGAACTTAAGAACCATCCTTGGGAGCAACACACAATGCCAGGAGAGAATGAATCAGATCAGGGGTGGGTGGGGGAGGGGGAGTGAGTGCTGCTAGGGCCCCTGCGGCAACAGAGCACCCACAGGAAATTGGACTTCGAGGAGACAAAAATAACATACTGTGTTTGGCACAGACTGGTGACACTTGTCACTTGCAGTGTCAAGATGGGAATTGCCCTGTGCATCACTGGGAAATGACTGAAAAGTCATGCATTGACTCAGGAAAGAGAACAGCTCATACAACAGGCAGAAAAGTTTGAGGAGCAAGCAGGCTATTCTAAGGGTAAGTGACCAGGAATTCAAAAAAGAGGAACTAGTTTATGTGACATCAGTGTCAAGGACTCAAACGGAGAAGGAATCAAGGCAGATAAACAAACAAACAACAATCGGCAGACTGTAGAGGCAAACTTTGTTGTTCTAATGAAAATTAATGTACATGGCAAAGATATCATCAGGATTTATTAATAGGCCCAAGTTTTAAAAATCTTTACGTTCGAGGCTTTGGGCATGAGGAAATCGAGGCAATGGCCTGTGGTGCTAATTCCTGCCTAATTTGATGGATATTCGACCTGATGCTGACGTGTTCGCTAATGTCAGGTGATTTCACCTCTTCTTAGACCAACAAGTACCTTTTAACAACTTCCCTTAGACCAGGGTTGTCAAACTGGCGGCCCGCGGGCCGCATGCGGCCCTCGAGGTAATTTTTGTATACTCGTCTTCAGTAGTTAAAGGGTTAACGAGCGAATTGTGTGTACGGTATTGCCTCTATCTCCCCTAAGCGCTATTTTCTTCATAACAATTTTTTCTATTTTCATTTTATTTCAGAGCATCATGGGCCACAAAAAATTACCTCGAGTGCCGCATGCGGCCCGCGGCCGCCAGTTTGACACCCCTGCCTTAGACCAATTAAAACATTTTTTTAATTGATGATTTGTATTTTGCTCCATTGCGCTTCTGTACCTATTACCCAGTCCCATTCCTAACCCATTACAGAGCCAGTGCACACTAAGTGTATATACACCATCTCCTAACAGTCCATAAATTGGCTTTAAAGGATGCTGTGCAATAGGACTCTCACCTTGCTCTGCACCTATCAGCTTTGCTTCCAACTCAATTAGAAAACTGGAAACCAGAATAAGGGCGTTAAAAACGAGCTTGAATTTGAACCTCAGTTGCACTGCTGATTAGCTATCTGATTTTGGACTAAGTCATTAACTTATCTGACCCGCAGGTTACCTCAGCCCAGTCTTTATGACTTTGATCCCCAGCTATGCTCATGTTCTTTTAAGTAGTCACCTTTGACCTAGGTACCCAGGTGTCTACTTCACCCTAACCCTCCTGCCAGATTAAATGTCTAAGGCACAGCTTTATTTATGTTTTCCTCACTCAAGAGGCGTTAACTACTCATTGCTTATTGAATCAAATCCAAACTCCCAGAAGAGCATTTGAACCCCTCTACAGTGCATACCCCTAAGACCAAAACCCTTGACAAGTGGGAGCAAACTAGGGTGCTATGACAAGAACACTGGGCTTTCAGTCTAAGGATCTGGCCTGAGTGCTGGTTCTGCTATCAGGAGGCTCTCTGTAAGCTTTAACCACATGACAGAGGATACCGCTCATCTTACAGATTTGCTGCAAGATTATATGAGATGATCTGTATACGCCTCGTAAGATGATGGCAGTGCAGCTCAGCCAAGCTGGACTAGTTGTCAGTCCGTGAAACTGCACACTTTCCCCCCACTGCCATTTATGGTTTCCCCTCTACCTGAAATCACCTTCAGTAGACACCCTTCTCCTGGAGTCCTCATGTCCAAAAAGTCCACTCTGTCCAGACTCCTGACCCAGGCATCTCAGCAGGCAATGATTTCTCCATCTTCTAAAGTGGCACATCATTTGCTTTGTACCATGTTTAAGATATTGTCACATTTCATCTTATACTGATGCCAGTTTCAAGTTTTGGTTACTTAGGGCTGGTTGTGGGGGAGATAACTTTTAAGTACGGAATTCTACGCAATGTCCTTCAAAAACACAGCCTATGTGTGGCTCCATCCACTCAGCCTAATTATAGACATGACTTAGTTGGCAACTTGAGTCAATCTGCTTTTCAATCCTTTAAATCCTTTCACCTGAGCCCAGTAAAATTCCCTTCACTTAGCAAAAGGACACCACGGCCAAGAAANATTTTGAAACTCGGGCAAAGCAGCAGCTAAAAACACCTGGCTTCACTCCCATTTGAGATGAAACATGACGCTAATGATGTTGCTATCTTAGCGGCTTCAATTTAGGTGCGGTGGGTGGTCTACACCCACCTTCTGAACTGGGGCCATGGCCAGGCCCCCACCTCAGAGCTTAGAATAAACGCTGTGAGCAAATGGGCTACCAACTAAATGCCTGACAATGGTAAGTTAAATTATGGTAAAGTCGTCTATTAACATGTCTGCAGCCAATTGGACAGTTCATAAAAAGAAGAATGATAGGGGGACACAGCTTATACGACACTATTCAGTGAAAAGGCTGGAAGGAAATATACCTGAATGTTGAACGATTATCAGGAGGCTGTAGAACTGGGGAGATTATTTCCTTTCATTCTTCCACATTATCCAATGAGTCTTTCTTACCTTTTTAATAGGTCAGTGGTTCTCAAAGTGTGGTACCCAGACTGGCAGCATCACCATCACCCAGGAACTTGTGAGAAATGCCAATTCTTGGGCCCCTCCCCAGACCTTCTGAATCAGAAATTCAGGGGATGGGGTCCAGGAATCTGCTTTAACAAGCCCTCCAGGGGGTTCTGATGCACACACAGCCAAGTTAAAGGCTGTAATCGAATAAAAGGTTTGCTTTTTGCTTTTATCTGTTTGCAAAAATGCCTTCAGCAGTATTAACCATTTCCCGATTCATATAAGAACAGATATTGAAACCTGCTTTTGTCAAATTCTTAATGAATATGTTGTGTCAATGAACTCTTATGAATTGAAACTCAGAATTACTCCTGTACTTGGTAAAGGAAGAGGGAGAGAGAGTGGGGAGCTGGGAGGGTCTGGGAAGCTTCTTGTTCCCCCCAAATAATCTGAAAGACCAACCACTTTGGTGACTTGTGTCTTCATTGATGGGGCACTGCAGAGAAACCTGATGCTATTTTGGCAGCTGCTGCCCTCCACTGAATTTCTTCTTACTAAAACATTACTGGCTGTGCAGGCTGGCAGAGGGTGGACTCCTACTGGAACCCAGGTGATAATGACAAGCCTCAGCCTCAACGGCAGAAAAGCAAAGCTGGCCCAGGGACTGTGAGTTACTTAGTTCTACTCCATCAGAATTAAGCTTTTATAGAGGACAGAGAGATAAACAGAAAAGGAGTTCTGCCTCTAAAACATGATTAGTTACAGCAAGGTCTCAGTTTTAGGAACTCGCTGGCTTTCCACTTTCCCTGACCGCTCTGAGCCGACCCAGCCCAGGAGAAGACAGGGAGGGTGTGAAGATACAGACAGGAGCAGCCCTGGCCAGCTCACACCATCACGGGTCACTGTTTTCTGAGGACCGTCAACAGATTCTATGTTATCACACAGCGTTTAGCGCTACCTTCCTCCCAAAAGAGAAAACTGTCCAAATGTTTTTTGGGGGGTAAAAGGGAATTTCCTACCTAAGCATCCCCACCCCCATGAGAATTGCCCTCCTGGTTCAGTGGGCCTTCAAGCATCGAGTTTGGGTGGAGAACTGATTTGCTGACACACGACGGCAGCAGGGGAGGGGACAGTAGCAGAGGTGGCTGTAGACGGAGAAGGACTATTTCTAGAGCATTCAGCAGAGTCCAGGGACACAGAAAACATGAACAGGACAACCTCCCCAATGCTGGGGACCTGAAGGATGCTACCAGGTTAGACTATTCGCAAATCTGTGGTCCTGGGGGCATTATCACAATTTTTCCCTCAGCAAGCAGACTGTGGGTTCTCAGGGAAAGACGTGAATGCTGACCACATGAGGGGCTTCCTGCCAAGGACGCCTGTGATCAGCCACACAAGGCTGCACGCCTAGCCGTCCTGCTGCCAGCGGAATGGGCTCCAGCCGGGAAGGCCATGGGTGTTTGGAAGGCTTTACCTCCATGATGGGACTGGACGCCAGGACCTTCTCCTCAATGTTGGTGTCACTGGCTGAGCCACCAACCGTGGCAAAATAGCGCATGGCGTACTTGGCTGACACGGTCTTGCCGGCCCCAGACTCCCCGCTGACTATGATGGACTGGTTCTTCTCGTCTCTGGAAGAGAAAAGGCTCTGGTCAGTTGCTGGCCGTGGAAAGGCTGTGCTGCCTTCCAGGGACTGTTGACAAGGGCCTGAGCCTGGTCAGGAGCAGCTCTCCTCCTTTCAGGGGTAAAGGGTAAGGGACAGCGTAAAAATCATCCTCCCTCCCTCATGTGCCTGCACAAGGTCTGAAAAGCAGGAGAAAGAAAGGAACTCTGAAAAGGGCTTACAAATGGCATACACCCTCCTTACGACCCACGGAAGGGGATGCAGCCAGCTGGCCGCTGTGCCACCCTCTCTCTGGATACATGCCCCCCCAGCTCATGACTTATATACATAAGTCTCCTCGGAGAATTGACACATACACCCTGTCACATATACATGCTTACCTTTATTTCTAGCTTGTGCTACTGTATGAGTTATAATTTTTTCCAAAAACAAGGAGATTTTCTTCTCCTCTGTATTTGAGCCTAGGCTGCCACACACTTCTGAACATTTTTGTTCACACATATGCATCACAAATATGCGATTAACCACCAGGCTGATGATCTTGCTTCAAGTTTCCCAGGAATAACAAAACAGCTATCAATTGCAATAGGAGGTGTTTTAGTCAGACTAAGTGGAAGGCAGAAAGACGATACTTTGCATCAGATAAAAACACATCTATATTTATCCCTGGAAAGCAGCTAGTAGGAAGACACATGAGTAGTGGAAAGAGCAGCCTATGAGGTCTCCAAAGAAGATGGATGATAACGCAGGTTTGGGAAATAAATTGCTGGGAAGGGCTATACTCAGCCATCTACCGCCTGTTCATACGCCCAGTGCCAGGACACGGGCACTTTGCTTTCAGTCTTCAGCGCCTGGCACAAAATACACACTCCGTACATACTGCTGGACCCAAGCAACTTAGGGATCAACCAACCCCCTCTTTTCCAGATGAGGAAAGGGAGGAGTGTGAAGGTAGGTTCAGAACTCAGGTCTCCTGGCTCCAGCCCAATATTCCTACTACCAGCCCTTGTGGCCTCCTGGGCAGAGCAGGCTATGGAAGAAGGAACTGAGAAACCACCACGGGCTGCCTGTCCCACCTTTAATTAACAACACAGGTAGGTTATGGCTTATCAGCAGGTGTGATTGAATGTTGACCCTGCTTCTGATCTGGGCCAACAGCCAAGAAGCCGGAGAGGTGCTGCGATGATCCCAAAGTCAACTAGGGATGAACCAGGAAGACAGAAGAGGTCTGGGAGCACCGGGGGTGACTCAGGTGTGGCAGCTAGGCTGCAGAAACCTGAATGGTCAGCCACTCCTCAAGGTCAGCCAAGAGCTGTGTGGTCTCAGCTCACACAAACCGTCATCAAATGGGGAGGGACCTGAGTGAATACAGGTAGCTGGTGGACACTGCTGAGAAGATGAAAATGAAAACACAGATCTTTCAAATTGGCTATACAACCAATTACTTGGAAACGTGTACAGAACCCCATGCCTAGTATTGGGAGGATGGCTAAGCAGCAGCTTTCTGACAGCCTGTGTAGTTCCAGGGTATCACTGTTGTCATCGGAGTGTTTCTCCTCTCCCTGTTCCT